TAATTTCTGGAAACCAATGCTTTGGTCCCTCAGACATAAACCTTGCTTTCAAATATGATCCTGATCACTTTGTCTGCTCTTAGTTTTGAAGACTACAACTAGGAACAAGCAAGGTCCTTTCAAAATCTATTCATACAAATCCTGTAAAGTATGATGCACCAAATCCCAAACTGTAAACCTCAAATTACACTTAATTACTCAGTAGCCCCAGTGTCCTCTTACCGTCTATCTCCTTGCCTCTTGGCTAAATTCAGAGCTCAGCTGCACCTCCAATGGTGAGATACTGTTGCAGGGAAAAACTGGGGAGTTCACCTTGTTTAATCAAAACCAGGATAGAAGTGGCCAATTGATAGTATGTAAGCAACTGGCAACCAGTAATAATAATACACTCCCTATCACTTTCAGTAGCAGAACAGGTTAACCGTGATACAAGACACATAATAAATGTTAATAAACATTGCACATTTCTAAACATCCTTCTGCACATACCCTCTGAAGCTGTAGTCACACCCACGTGTGATGTTTAGAATGTGCAATGTTTATTAACACACATTTACCAGGCCCTATATCACAGGCAGCACAGGTTACAAACACAGCCCCACTCTCCTGGGATGCAGTTTCCCTTCTTTCATGCACTTCTGCTTGGAGAAGTGGGGACTCCAGCCCTGCATGTGCCCATTTAACAGGACCCATCCCCATTCTTACACCCCAGTGCAGTATAGACAGAAGCTGTGATGCCAAAGGGCTGACTTCTGGCAGTGTCTGACCAGGTTTTGACTGCTGCTGTTTCCACCCTCACAGTAAATTTTCATACTGTTTTTATATTATTTCCCAAGCTGACTCCTTCCTTGTTTCAGAAGTCACTTTGTAATTTCCTGGCTACTATTTAACCTTGCTGGTGGTCACCTTCCTCTTTATCATGAAAATTTTGGGACAAACATCCTCATAGACAGTTCTGTATATTCCAGGCAAACGGGTTTTGTTGTCCATGGGTGGGCTGTGTGGGCACTCCTGCAATATATCTCCTACCTGTTTTCAGAGTCTCATTTAGATTCCCTGTACAGTCACTGGAGGAACAGAACAGTTTTAGATTGCAATTAACGTCACCACTTTGAGGCGCCTACCTTAGGATGGTATAAATCATGCTCTTCAAGCGTCTGTGTTCTGTAGTGAGGTATAAAAGGAGCCTAGACATTTAACTTGTATATAGACGTAAGCCATTAGTCTTGTAGGGTGGCATTCCTCTATAGATTTTGGCACCTGGATGAATTGTCTTTAGGTGAGCTGTGTCTCCGAACACCTATTACAATAAATAGAAAGCTAATCAGTGCAGGCAGTGAATGTAGGTGTTTTAGGTTTGCATTTATTGTCGTTTCTAAGGTTAGTTAAGGAAAATCTTTCTTGTTTGTCTCATCAGGTGGCAAGACTGTGCTAGGACTGAGCTAGAAGGCAATCTCAGGAAGATCGTTACAGTTTGTTTTTGTACTTTCTCAGGGCAATCCTCAGCTGACCACTCAGCTAGCTGTCCAGGGCTGCCTCAGCCTCTCTCCTAAGAAATTCATTTGCAGAAAAATTGCCAGAGGAAAATCCTCTCAAGGGAATGACTGCAATCACCATAACATCCAGTCCTGTTGGTGCCACACTCTTCCACTCTCCTTGAGTCCCCATGATGCTGTGCATGAAGCTTACAAATCAGAATTCCTTTGTCAATTAAATCACATTTTTTCAGTGTGTCACGCCTTTAACTGATAGTTAAGTGTATTTTTGAGGAGCTGAACAGATCTACGTCACTGAGATCATAAACCTTATTTTAATGACTGCAGATTTTAAAAAGTGGATGTCAAAGCAGGTAGAGAAAAAACATTGTAAAATTAATATTGAGATAGTCAAATCTTTTTTGTCCCCTGTGCCTTATCTTAAAGCAAAAGTACTTATCAGTGAGCAAAAGGTCAATGAGTTAAAATCAGTCTTAAGAATATTTCCAGTTCATTCTGCCTTTAGAGAAAATGCATGCTTGATCCATGTAATCTAACTGCATTTATGCACTTTCTGAAAGGCATTACATATATACCTCTAACTATTTGCATCCAGTATGTGGATGAGCATCTTCAAGCTCCTGAGAAGTCTTGCAATTCTGTATACAATGGTGTCATTGTACAAAATATATGTGTATGTCTGCTTTGAGTTTTACAGCCTACTAAAATTTAATCTCTATTGCTCAGCTTAAAAATTTACCAGCAAGAGGTCAGCTTTCTCCCAGAATAATTTCCTGTGATTGCCACTGTTTTTTCCCATTCTGTCCTTGTGGTTTAGGGCTTGGCTGGCCACTAAATCCTGGACAGATGCTCTCTATTAACCCTTTCCCCTCCTTAAAAGAGAAGAAAAAAAAAGATAAGAGAGAGAGACTTTATGGGTTGGAAAATGAAACTATCAGGTTTAATAAAACTATAATACTAATACTACAGGATAATAGTGTAAATATGAAAATAATGAAATATATACAGATATGTGCAAATATATACAAAACCAATATAAAATCCTCCACCCACCCTCCCCCAATGATGAATACGTCACCAGAGGCTCTGCAAAGCAGGGCACTGGAAAAGTCCCAGATTGGATTCAGCAGCATGTGGGAGCAGGATGCAGGAACACATGAATCAGGATCAGAGGCAGACAAACCAGCAGGATTCTGCTCAGACGTCGCCTGTTGCAGCATCAAGATGTACGGAAGGGTCCAAGATGGAAGGGGTCCAGGATGAAAGAAGGGTCAAGACCCTCGTGATCCCTCAGCTTTATACTGAGTATGACGAATGTGGGATGGAATACCTAGTTGGTCAGTTTTCAGTCCACTTCCCCTCCTGTAGGCACAGACCTGGCACCCATGATGAAACAGTGGCCTTGGGATTATCAGTATACACTGTCTGAGAAAAAACCCATACTGCTAGTTTCAGCAAGTTCAGCCACTTAGAAGAGTCTGAGCTGAAAAGTAAAATCACTAAATAGAAAATTAGTTCTATTTAGCTCAAACCAGGACAGTCCTCTATTTTACTATAATGCTGCTTTTAATCAGGCTCAATCAATAATGAGATTGAATCTTGCTGGACAAGTAGTCTGTTTCCTCTGAAGGTGGCAAAACAAGCATCATTAGTGATCATCTCAAGTTACCTTCACCTCAGAGACTTTGATATTCTGCAGTTGAACACAGATATTTATAGTTCTTTGTTGGGCACACTCAGAAGAACATGACATTACTGCAGGTTTTCACACTGCTAATCCTTATTCTGTACATTTTCCCTATTAGTTGAGGAGAAACCTATAGAATCCGTAAGAGTCAAACCTAACCTGAACTGGTTTGAATAAGAATTTTTTTCGTGAGTTGGAATTTAACCTGAAGTATTCATCTCTTGTCTCTATTGGTCCTGAAACTGACTAAATATTTATTTTCAATCATTGGCTTAGAATAAACACTGTCCTAAAACCTGATATCCCCTAATGAGAACCTGTTGAGTGCTGTTTCTTTTCTAGGCTGGCTAAAGAGGGCTGTAACTAAAACGCAGTTCCTTGGAGAAGCCAGTTTTATTTTAATGCCTGTTGTGTTGGAAACAGTTTGCTATTATAGCCAACAGCATGCTGTGAGTGCAAATAGGGCAAATCAGCCTGTCTTTCATCAGTTCTGACTACAAATATATGCATAGTGTGTCCTTTGTGTTGAGGTGCTTAGGGATTGATTTATGGTGAGGAACAAATGAGCTAATGGGGCATTTTCTGTCCTGCTTTCCTTTCCTTCTAATAATCACCAACTTTCATTGGAAAATTCTGCAAATCCGTATCTTCCCTGTGCAGCAAAACCACACAGCTTCTTGCTTAGCCCCTCAATACCCACTGCGGATTTATGAAATTAAAGAAAAGGTAGAAGCTGGTATAGCAGGAGTGTGAGTGATCACAGAATCATAAAGTGGTTTGGGTTGGAGGTGATCTTAAAGATCATCTAGTCCAACACCCCTGCCATGAACAGGGACACCTCCCCCTAGACCAGGCTGCTCAAAGCCCCATCCAACCAAAGTCAGTTGAAGAACTACCATGCAGTTCCATCCTGGTGAGATTAGTCTTCATATAATATTTTAATTTAACATGAACAATTACATGGGACAATTTCACTCAGAGATTATTCTAAATCTGAACTGATTTGAAAAATGTACAGCTTTGTGTTCTTAATGTTTGTACTAGTCCGTGGGAGAAACACAACTTTGGTGATCTTAGACTTTGCAAAGCACAGACTCCTTCACAGCCAGTTGTGGCTATGAAATGGAGTGTGATCTGAGGATTTGCACAATCTCCAAGGTAAGTGTTTGTGGTCAAGGTCAAGTGGGACAGCCCTTGGCACAGTATGTTGACAAGAGAACAGGCTTTTACTTTGAGTATGCTGTTACCTACTGCTAAAGACAGAAGTGTTTGTGGTTTCCATTGCCTACAACCAGTTGGCAGCAAAAGGTTTTATCAAAGTGAGCCTAGACTGTGAGTGATATTTTTTAAAATCATTAATACAGAGTTTGTTGCTGATAAACTTATTTGTAAAAAAAGGATTCCTTCTCTACTGGTATGCTCCATGGAGCTTTTCATGCCTCTTTTCTTTATTGTGCAAATGAATAAGAACTGAAGTTTATATTCTAAGGCAATTTTTATTTCTACCAGCCTTTTCATTTATGATCTTAAGCATTGATTTACTGTAAAAGTTCAAAGATATGTGTAATCTCTTTCACAGCTGCAAAGGTTTTTTGAGATATTCTTCAAAAGCAATTCTCCCCAACAAGCCTTCAACAACATGAAGGAAGCTATAAGCAAACTGCTACTTATAACTGAGGTCTTCAGTGAATCATCTGCCTCAGGACCAAATTCTTTCAATCAGTAAGTAACTTGCAGTGGTCATTGCTATGCTTTTGTCAGTATAACTCATTAGGACAGAACAAAAACAGAGGATCCATGACTCCTAAAATAACAAAATCTCCTCTCTTTCATACTTCCTTTTAGAATAAAGTGAGGATGTGCTGCATTTAGGGAGTAAAGCTCTTCAATATCCACAGTGTTTCTAGTCTGTGAAAAGGTTATGATGAACACCTAGGACCAGATGCTGTGTTCTGATGAAGTGTTTCAGGCAGCACAAATGAACAGAAACCACTCACAATTGGGCTAGTCCTAACATATATAAAGCTGTATATCCCTTCAGTGAGCCCTCTGTCATATGTCAAATATTTAAAGTTAGAATAGCCCAAACAGTTCAGAGCTGGCTGTGGCAGGCGATCTGTACAAGAGATGCTGTTGAATACTTTATGAATGTACCTTATGAACTATTCCTAGGCAGCAACAGTCACATTTACCTGAGTGTTAAATCATTGTAAGCACTTCTGTTAAGAGTGTTACAATTCTTACACATAAATCAGCTGTTATTATGTAATATTTTTATTAATTCAAATTAATATTTGTTCTATATACATTATGTCATATTCCTGACATTTTTATGGTAAATAGTAAATAAGTTACTGTTTATTTACATTTAGTTACTATTTATCACATCTAAATGTTTTATAAAGCTATTTGAGATCCCAGGTGTTTTAGTAGCGATAACATAAAGCTCATAATTTGGAAGTTGGGAGTAAAGCTTACATTGTGAGTGGAGAGGGTAGTGAGGATTGGAGGAGTGTAACTGGGATGGAGCTGTTTTGACAGTGGTACATACTCTAACATTTTTTTACCAATGGAATGGATATCTTTTGTTCACATAACCCAAGACTTGCTTGGAGCTCCTGGCCCATGCCTTCAAACTTACCCATAGTTGCAGCACAGCTCTTTGGCTTCAATGAGCCCAGAGACTTTCGCCATATATCGCCCTCCAAATGTCTTCACAGATTTTGCAGGGTCTTGTTCTCATAAAAAGGCATTTCTTCCTCCAGTACAGTTCACTTCCCTCACTGATTTCAAAGTCAACCATACAAATACACCTTAATATAGCAGTGTTTTCATCAGCTCACAATCTGACTCCATCTGTATTTAATGCTGCTGGCTCTTCTCAGAAATTTTATTTAGTCTGTATCGCATGATCTCTCTTTACCTATGTGTGTATATGTTCTCTGGACCCATATGTGTATGTCATTGTAGTGTGTATTTCACAATAGTAACTAAAGTCACTGAATCTGATACTTGTTATATTTTATTTCAGATGCAGCCAATGTTTTCAAATGTTAACCTTTGACATTGGATTTGGCACATCCATATACCCAGTAGTTCTTGAGGTGAGAAAAATTACACAAATTATTGCTTGACCCAAAAGACTTGCACCAAAAAGAAAATAGCATGGAACATCTCTGAGAGTTACCCTCAAATCTCTGAGAAAGATATAAATAAAGAAATATTAATTTTGCCTAAAAATGGAGAGTACCTATGGGAGAAACCAGTTTTTAAGGGGCAGAGTTCCTGTGACAAAGTTCACCACACCATTGAAGTGTGCAAACCTGCCAGGGTAAGTGTTACAGGTCTATCAGCCCTACCTAATATCAGCAAAACAGAATCCATAGTAAGCATTGCATGCAAGTAGAGTAAGATATTAACTGTGGCAAAACAAAGATGAAGGGAGGGCATTAAAATACCACAGCTGCCTTTATTGCAGTTAAAGCTCTCCATGAATTGTACTGTACTTCTTCAATTCATCACCTGCTTTGACCTCCACTGTGCTGCCTTCTTTCCTGGATGGTCCTCAAGGCCTGCAAAAACAGAGAAATGTGACCTGTGGCATAAAGTTCCTGTGCCAGTTTTGTACCACTCCAGCCCCAGAACAGCCTGGCCAGAAAAAAGACTGTACTGCTTTCCAGCTGCTTATTACCCCATATATGCATACAAATATGTATATAACTGCATATATAAAATGTTTTTCCATATTTATGATACACAAAAGGCAAAATAATACTATTATATATATTCTGGAAAATTGCAGAACACTTTTAAAATTAATCCTCAGTTAAAATCTGTTCAAGTTTCTAGTAACAACAGTAAAGTCAGCCTCTGCATCCTTCACAAAGCAAAGATCCTTTGAACAAAGGACAGATGTACATATGGAAGAAAGTTTGCACAGCTTAAAATATGCATGAAGACAATATTTTTATCTAGTCTGACAAGACTTGTTTAGCTAGTATAAGAAAGGTTACACATCATAACAATTTAATACTTATATCCTAGGCTGTAAAAAAATAATCTCAGCTTAAAAACCTAAACACAAAGCTTAATGTTTACCTGCCTGTTTATATAACTACCATCTGTAATTCATAAATAAATGTACATTAAATCAGTAGTGTTTAAAAGCCTCTTATGAAAATAAAAATTACTCTAAAAAACAACAGTTGATAATTACACTGACATTTGACTTTGGATAGTATCTCTTGACAACTGTAGTATGCACACACCCCATGCAACCTAAAGTTATATTTGTGTTTATGCTAAAATACTAAGTTATTCATATTTTATAAACATGTGTTTACTCACTGTGTTTAGATATTGAAAAATGTATAGCTTCGACTGTACTAACTCCTAAACACCTGATAGAGTGGTGTTAACATACAAGCTGACATTTTCCTTTTTTTTAATCAAATTTCAAATCAAACATTAAAAAAGCTCTCACATGAGAATGCAATGTTTCACTCCGTCCGCTGGAGGTCAGCAAACATTGTGCAGTGCAGTTACAGCATTTGCTCTATTATAATCCTGCCTGCTTTCCTGGTGTTATTGTGACTTCCTTGTATAAATATTTCCAGTGTGATATATGTGGTTATGGGAAGACCGGACTTGATATTCAGAATACAAATTCTTACATTGTTTTCCAACAGGTGCATGAAAACTTTGACTTTCAAGATGAGGATGAATCAGATATTCAGGACCAAACTTTTAAAGAATTTCTTTTTGAAGATACTTTTAAATTTCTCTTGTCTAATATATCCTCAACATCTTTTTTCATAGAAGCTTTACAAAAAATATATGGATCAACTGTAAGCAAGGTAGTTCATTACACTTTTTCTTATTAATTGTGGAAATTGAAAATACTTCATTCTGAATTGTATGCCTTTATGACATTATTGGTACCAACTTATAGAATGAAGTATTTATCTAATCAAAGCTTACTGTTACTGAATTCTGGGGAAGTCATGAATAAAACTGTAATTATATTAAACAATGGAGTTTTCTTTAATAAAAATTCCACTCTCAAATTATGTCACTCCCCGTAGTACAGTGCTTTAAAGAGATATTTAAAATATTGTAAAGTAATTTCCCAACCATTTTTATATAGTATTTTTAATACTGTATTTTTTAATATATAGGTTTGTATGTTTTCTTAAACTTGGAACTGATTAAGTAGATTCATGAGCATCAGAATTAAATTTTGTTTCCTGCAGCTTTGTGTGTTATTCTGAATACAAGATTCCACTACAATTTTTTGCATTTATAGGGTCTGTATAAAGTTTGTATCACTTATGAAATGTATTTCTGACAAGCTAGGAACTCCTTTAGCAGTATTTCTCCTAGTGTGGGCACTTTTGACGGAGCATTTCTGGGGAGTCCCTTGCTTGCATGACTTACAGGAACTACATTATCTTTGCGACTTCTGCCTCTCAGGCAGGTGTGACTAAAACAGGGTCATGCGTCCAAATTTAGGACAGGGTAAAGTGGGAAGCTGCAGACACACAGACACATACAATATAGTTATCTAGGTTTTCTGTAGAAGGCCTGGCCACATTTCAAACTGCCCACTTCATTGTCTATGCTTCATGCAGTCTCTTGCCATTATGATTTCCATGGGTTCTTTCCTACACAAAGTGAATGCACAGTCCACTTTATTCTAGGCTGAGAAATGGGAAAAGCTACCAAGGAGCTGGCTTGACATGACTTTGGATGAGGATAGGGCAAGTTGAGAGCTGCTGTAACTTGTTCTTTTGATCACCAAAGAGATTGTAGTCTAATGAAAGCACATTGCTTTTCATGTGATTTCCTGAGAATATGCTGCCCTTTCCTTCATAGGATGGAACTCACCACAAAGAAGATGAGCAATGTTTGTCTTTAGAAGAGATAAATTCAATGATTACTTTCATAAAGGAGCTGAAGAGTCTTGGACAATTTGAGCTGGTAAAATAAAGAGGAATTTGTTGTAGTAGATACATATTTTATGTAAATCTCTTAACATTTCTTGTTAATTAACATTCTTTGCTGTCTCTAGCACATGCATTAGACAAGATGGGCAAGGAAGCAGGGAGATGACTGTCATGTTGACTTTATTTTGGTGGATTTTTAGAATTCAAATTAAAAAAATACAGAAATAAAACAGAGTCTGAGTTGAGGATTCATTGAAAAAGACAGCTAAAGCAGAAACAGAGACCAGAAAATAGAATGAAAGAAAAAGGGGGAAAAATATATGACTAATGAGTTGGTAAGAAAATAAAATTATTATTAAGCAAAGCAGATGTGAATGGAAGAACTGGAGACAGCACAACATTGATATCATGACCAGAGATGAAATACTGTCAAAAAAAGCAAGCGGAATATGTAATATGTCATCTTCTTCACACTTCAAGTGAGTTCTTTTTTGGAGAGCAGAGATGGAGGAATAACAGGCAGTGTCTGTGAACAGGCATAGCAATTAATGAGGGAAATGATGAGTATTGGGGAAATAAAAGATCTGCAACTGGATCTATAGTTCAGAAAGTCTGTATGGCAACAGGATTTCTTCTGGACCTCCTGGATGATTGTTAGAGTTTGAGACTGATGAGGCTTCCTGAAGATGGATAAAGTTGTCTCCGAAATAAAATCAAAGGCAAAGGAATTAGACCTCCATGTCAGTACTAGTAAACCCAAGTTATCGGGCTGAGCAAGAGAGTATTTTCTACACATGTGGGAAAGAGTATTAATAAAAATCCATCAGCATGCTATATACAGTCTTCTGATAATTTCTTACTTCTTTACATTTTACAAATACTACAACATGTAGTCTCTAATCAGTGTCTCACTTCTCAGCTTTTCCCTTCTCCTGCACCCAAGATTCAAACTCTACTGCGCGACCTTTATCACATGGTAGACCCAATGAGACGGCTTGGTTCAGTCCTGACCCTGCATTGGTTGCTTTCCAGTTTACTTGAACAATTCCAGTTAATGACTGAAGAGGCACATACAAATCTTTCAGAATGGTAAGATAGCTGTTATATATGTTCAGGAGTAGTTTCTTGAATGATATTAATTGCAGTAGTTCCAGTGAGCACCATAAAACTTAATCCTTCAGTAGATGTAGGTGGATTTACAACAATTGTGATGAAGATCCACCATCCCATAATGGTGTACTGTCAGCCATTCTGCTCTGAGAGTTGCAGCTAGGTTTCTACATAGGACAGTTTTGCCCATTTACTTCACTTTCCAATAGAAAGGATTTGGGTTAAAAACTTAACTGAAGCTACAGGAAAATTTTTTTCTAAGAAATATGAAGTGAATTATGTAGAAGGTTTCTGAACAACTGTAAACTCAAAATTAGGACTGCTTACCATGGTTAAGACCATCTTTTAGTCTATTCAACAATTAGAAGCCAAAATGTAAAGAAAATTTAAAATTTCAGGAGGATATTTTTCCAGAAGAGAGTAATAACTTTGAGTGGCTCTAAATTTTCTGTCCAACAAGAGACAGGCCAAATTTTAACTCTTTTTGAAAAACTAGAAAAATATTTTAATGACAAGAAGGTTGGATCCATTAAGCTTCTGGCAAGAGATTTTAACCTTCATAAGGACAGAGGGAGGGAGAAAGGAAGGGAGGAAGGAAGAAAGGGAAGAAATAAAAGAGGGAGTAAGGAATGAATGGAGGGAAGGAGAACAGTTGTGGTATACTATATGTTTAGTGTAAAATTTGTAAAAATTGTATGTAAAAATGTGTTTTCAGAGCTCATTCTCTCCTGGTTAATGATGTTTCATATACATGTACTCCATACTTCTTCACTGACTACAAGCATATATTATTTTGCAAATGAGAGCTTGAGAATGGAGGAACATTCAAAAATATGTGTGCTCCATCCACTGAGTCTCCAGTAAAATGTGCAAAAGACATTATTTTGTAGATTTTGCTTGGACAATGTCATAGTGACTATATAAGGCATCTGTAAGATTTCTTGTTTTAATTTTGTTCCTCATTGAATCGGCTTTCAGCAAGACAATAGTAAACTGTATCTTTCTTTGCTTATCTGTACAGTGGAGCTTATGCTTTACCACTGTGCTAGGTAACTGTTTATTAGTGTTTTGAAAATACACAGTTCTATGAATGCACTAAGTATTACTGTTGTTACTGCTGGCTACTCCATGAAAAGTAACTCAAAGATGCAGCTGCTTGCATTCGTGTATAAGCCCTTACCCTTTTGCCAAAATATTTAGGTTTGCATATCAAAGCATACCAACCTTTAGCAGCTTTCTGTTCTAATCTAAGCTGTGCTACTCACTCACTTTGAGCAAGCCCCTTGGCCTCTTTTTTTCCTTCCAGCTGAACATTATTGTATGTGTATAAATATGTACAAGTACTGTAACCTTTCTCCAGGGCATAGGCCAGTCTGCTTCTTTGCACTATATTTTTCTGCAATGGCTAGGTTAATAACACCATTCTGTTCATTCACTGTATAAAAAACTCGTGTGTTTTGACATTGCTAAATCATAATCTTCCTCTTCTATAGCTACGTGCATGTGATGGTGATGCATGTGTCAGATATGCATGTAATTATACTTAATTGCAAGGAAGAAAGAGCTTAGTAGAGCTTACTCCCCAAACAATTCAGGTATGCATTCTCTTTGACCTCTGAGTAATCTTTTTTGCAATTTCCAGCTCTGATGAGTTTCTATATCAGAACACTTTTCCTGAACGTATTCAGTTAAGGCCAGGTTGTTCAATGGGTGTATTTAACAGTTCTTATTTCTCTGACTATGCAAAATTGGTATTTTCATTTACAAAATCCAGTCATTTGCATAGCTGACTGTCCAACCAGACAAGCCTGGATACTTGTGGGAAATATAATGACTTCTGACTTAGGTCTTGCACTGTTCATGCAGTTCACTGATCATGAGTCCGTTGGATGGAGACAGGATTTAAAGAAGTTTCCTGGTCTACTTTTCTTAACCCTTTTCATCTACATGACTACTATTGAAACTTTCAATGGTTTTAGTGAACTCTCTGAATTACTTCCACAGGAGAAGCAAGAAGAGCTCTAGAAACTCATCTCTGACTGTAATGAAATGGTTACAGCCTAGGTGAGAATGACCTTCTCAGATATATTGGTATAACATATGACAAAGTTCCTTAAAAGTGATGGAGTGGTACTACCTAACAAGTGCACTGAAGTAAATTTTCTGCATTGTTTGTGCACTGTTTTTCAACTCTGTGCAGTTTCAACTTGTAGTATGACTAAGATGTACATCATTACTGTCTTTTAGAATAGGGGCTATGAAGTACCATAGCAAGTATGTTTGGCTGTGTCAGACAGCAGAGTAGCATGGGAGGATCAGATTAGTGAGAAAAGCTAACCCTTCTGTATTTGCATAACACAAAAGTCTAAGCAAGTCTATAAAGTTGCAAATGCTTTTACGAAATCAACAGTTAAATTTGGAAAAGTGTTAGTAGCTTCCCATATGCAAGCCCTTTGTTAGGTCAAGATAGAAGCAGTAAGTCCTCAAACTGAATTTGAGTTGAAACTAATTTCTTGGAGTTTAACTTGGTCATGCTCATCACCTGGGCAGTTTGGGAAACAAACATGGTTTGGACAAGAGAAGACAACAGCAAGGAAGTCTGGATAAGATCACTGATCTGCAACGGGAGGAATGAGAGACAGAGGGAAGGAGAGAGACAGTTGGGATTAAATGCCAGGAAACCAATCCCACTCTTGAGTCTTCAATTTTGTATTTCTCTTTGGAAGATCAGCACAAGATACTTCATTCAGTGAATCAAATGCCCACACCGCTGGTTAATGAAACAGAAAAAAAAATACTAGTGATTACATCTCAGATAATTACATCTGGTGGCTCATCATTTTCAAGAGAGACCTACAAAACATCATCTAAAGAAATAAAATTCGTAACTCTACTGAATACTGAAATATGGCCTCAATTCTAACTGTATGACCCATTAAAAATTGCACTATCCACAACTAACTCATCCATTGGAGGCCTGAAAAGTGACCAAATTTTTTCCATTTTTTATTTTAATCTTATGAAAGATATTATGTCTTTCTACACATCCTTCATTGCTTATGTCACTGATTGCTTAGGCCATCAGAACTACATTGCTATTGCTGATTTCAGTCCTTTTCCTTTCTCATTTGCTGAACTGGAGAGATTCCTAAAGGACAAGACCACTAATTTGTGATAATAGTTTGTGATATACACAGCGGGGATCTCTCAAAAGGAACATTTACAAGCATGCATGCACCTAGGGTGCCTGACATACAGTCATTAGCTTCATTAGAGTTAATTGCAAAGAGTATAAGCAATGTGCTCATCCACACCTGATAACTCCTACAAGATACTAAGTAAATAAGATGAAGGTCTCTTCTTGAGTCACAGCGTGTGGAAGAAAGGGCTCTGGAGAGTCTGGGATCTCAGCTGCTCCCTGTCTGAGGAGAAGCTCCATAACTGTATCATTTCTCAGTCCTGCTGACTGCAAGGAGCTTGGACAAAGGAAAACTTGATGGTGCTGATGATTAAAAGGCCCAGTTTTCAGTAGAGATACATTCAGTAACCTGAGTATCTTTCTGTAATATCATTTCTAAATACTATATTTTGATACCCTGCTGTAATTAGAGTTATTTTATATCTCTTAATGTTGTCTGGTAATGATCACAATCTCTTTAAAAACTGACACATGCAGGTCATGTGATTCCTTTGGAAGCCAGGGCCTTGCACCGGTGGTGGCTGCCACATTCCTGAGGTGTCCACTGGCTAAATGAAAGTCTGACATTTCATAGAGTTAAGGCATCATGTTTTCACCTTACAATAGGTTTTGACACTGGGGAATCAAAAAGGAACAGCAGAGAGAAAAAACTTAATTGACAGATGTTAGCCATTACCTCCTTCGAAAGCAGAAAGAGGGGTGGAAAATGACTTATAACTTGGAAAACAAACTCTAATAGTTTGTTAAGTGCCTCCTCTGAAGGAGGTCATGAATGTGCATGGAATTAGGGCAGTGTCTAGACACTGCAAGCTCAAAACTACATTTTCATGCACACACACACACACAGCTCTGCCAGCTGCTTCTTTCCTTGTCTCATTGACACAACACAGAAATCTCTGTTTTATTATTGAACAGTTTACCTTTTACCATGACTGACCTCAATATTGCTTTCAACAGCTCCTGTTGAAGCATTAGTGATGGCTGATTGCACAAAACAATATTGCCACCTCCGTTCCTTGGCACAGAGAGTGACTTTTTGTCAGTCAAAATCTGAATTAATAGGCAGCAGTATCTGGGAAGAAGGTGATTTATGAGGAGTTCTGCAGAAAACATTGGGAGGAAAACATGTGAAAGCTTCACAAAATGTTAATGAACCTCTGAAAAGGTCTTATCAGCCAGAGGTCCACTACATGGGTTAGATAGAAGTCTACTGCCTTTCTTCTTCTGTGCTCCCAGAATGCTATATGAAAGAAAAAAATCTACGGTTGACAATATAAGTACCACTAACATGTTAATCAATTATTGCAATTGACTTGTGTTTTTTTCGCTGAAGATTTATATATATATTTAGTACGATGATTGTGTGTTTTGTTTTGAATTAGCAAACAAATCAAAACACATAGATGCTCCTTTATAAAAATTGATGCTACCCTCAGCAAAGATAATCACCATGACACAGGCTATCATTTATATTTAAATCTTTTTGAACAAAGTCTAGCTTTAATGTCAAATATCTATAAAAAAGCAGCATACAAGCAACTAAGAGATATGGTTTGGGTTATTTTATTCTTGGCTATATTAATTCTTCCTTATCCCAGCAATTCAACAATGTTTTGAATTTTATTTCTGGTTTTCTTTTTTTTTTTAATTCATGTTACATGCAAACATTTGTTATGGAATATGTGTTTTCTGTCATGTTAATTGAGGTAACGTTGATAATGCTGGAAACATGAAATCAGAAGGTTCATCTTCCCATGGAGAATATTAAAATATCATGTGCAATGGGTTGCCATATAGAAATTTTTGAAAAATATTCCATGAATTCTGTTCCATTCATGTAGAAATATGTCTGATATTGAATTGACAGGAATTCTTCTCAAGAAAATGTGAGCCCTAGGCAGAATGTTCATTCTAACTTCAGGAAGAATCATGATGGTAAGGAATCAGAGTAAGATCTCTTAGATATGGAATGTCTTGCCTATTTGTACTACTTCTGATAATGTATATGATTTAGATTACATAATTTTGCATTGCAACTGGAAGGTCTTGGCTTACTACATATAAAAGAACAAGTTCTTCCTTATCTGTGTAAGTTGTTCTGCTGAGCCCATGAGTACTGTTCATGAGCCTAAAGCAAAGATCTCATGCTAAAAAGGATAGAAATACACTGTATTTTTTATAATTAACGAAATAAGAGTTCCTTCTCCCCTACGATTGTGAATCAGGCTTAAAGAAGAAAATAATTAATTGTTTTTGTTTATCTTTCAGCATTGCCTTATTCCAGTAAGATTAAAGAAAGACGATGCAGTTATGGTAAGTCAAGGTCTTTCTAGACCACTAAGGGGGAAGAAAAGAGATTACTTAAACAAATTTCTTGATTTTTTTTCTGCAGAACTTTTCAGAGAATAGACATCCTGCAGGCTGTTATTAAAAAAAAAATATATTTTTAAGTAACAAGAATGTTTATGAATCACTCAAAAATTGTGCTATTATTTTAAATAAGCCTCAAGCACAAAGTTAAGCATTGCTATGTGTGTATATTAATGTGACAGTTCCAGGACTCATTGATCCTTTGCCACATTTCAATAGACTTTTGCCCCTTATTTCCAAGAACTTTAGCATATATTTGTTCTTGTGGAGTAACCTTTAAACTTCTATGAAGTTTCATCAGCCTTGTATAAGGCCAGTCTTCAATGGTGGAATTTTAAAGTGCTCCTTAAGAGATGAAGAGTTTTTCTAAAAGTTGTCCTTGTAGGAATATTTAAAGTATATTTAAAGATATATCAAGATTTAAAGTATATTTGTCTTGAGTGGGAGCAATGCTTTCTGCTGCCTTTCTCATTGACACATTATCTGAGGCATCACTTTATAAATGTGAAACAATTGTTCTGTGGTGGAAAGTTTTTTCTATCCATTGAGTCTCATTTCCCCTCAGTTACTGATCTCATGTTGTCTCTACATGCTCCTCTGTGTTTGTCAGAGACCAGAACTGCTCCTGGTCTGGTTGACTGGCATCACCAATCCAGTTGCATGATATTTTATTTTGAAAATATCTCAATCAATTTTATTTTGAAAAATCCTCCTCATTTTTAATCTAATAGTGAAACAACCTTTCTAGGTGAGGCACACAGGATCTGGAGAACTGTTTATACTCATCTGTAAGATTTTTTTAAAATACCTTCTGTGTGTCAACTTCAAAGCCTTTATTCCCCTACAAATCTAGCCCAAATTCTGCTCTTCCATTGGAATAACTTCCTTTACAATTTAATCCATGCAAGAGGATGCTGAATTGCCCTGTTTTTTTTTCACAAGGCAGATATTTCAAGGTAGAAAAGGCCTGCATGGAACTGCTTGCATCCCTCATGACCCTTTAAGGCAATGTTTTAAATCACATGATTTTTCAGATATGATAGTAAAAGATTTTCCTGGCTGGAGTATTTTCTGAAGTACCCAGTTTTAAGCACATACTACAGAATATGTGTGGAAAGCAAGTTTTGTATATGTAATTTTACTGTAAATCTGAATCCAATAGGTTGGATTAAAATAGTTGTCGTAAGTATGTTGCCAGCAAATAATTATTCTCATGAGTCATTTGGCAAACACTACAAAATAAAGGACACATTTGAGTAAATAGGATTTGATTGTGGAGAACTCATACAAAGGGAAGGAGCTGGAATTTGTTGATTTAGGAATTTTAATAAAGCATTCTTCCAGCTGTACTGCAAATGACCCCATGAGTCTAGATATCTTCATGTGACTTGTTCTTATGAACTGTAAGAGTATGTCTAACCTATTTTGATTTTTATTGGCGATTACACATGTGCGTTATCCCTGTACACAGGCTGGTACCTAAGAAGGTTATGAATTTTGGCCTAACGTTTCTTCAAGTTTCAGTTAACCAGCTGAAGACAGGATGTCCCAGACCTAATCCTTGCATTTTCAAAGGCTTACTCAGACTTTGAGTTTTGTGCCTCTGACTTTAGTTATTGGGCACTGAATGATTAAAATCCCTCCAGGGTCTAAAAATTTTTCCCAAGTGCCAATACAAACTCCATTAAGACCTTGCAGCAGGATTATCAGTCTCAGAGTGACCAGGCATTAAAAATCTTGCCACTGTACTTGTTATCAATCTGCCAGAAGTTGCATGTTACTTAAAAATGTTCATACATTTCACAGTTTTTTCTTTGATGCCTTCTTGGAACAGATAAAGATACCCTATCTCATATCAGGCAGATCTTCACCAGTCCACAGCTGGACTTGAATCCTCAGTTTAACCCAAAGATCAAAGAATACTATGCAGAAGTCCCATTTGACATGGTGACAGTGAAGATTGGAGCAGAACCGTCTAACTGTCAATGCCAAGTACACCTTGATGAGAAGAAAGGTCCAAGGTATGAGTGACAAAATATGAGTGCAACTAACTTTTTAGTGTTTTAATGTTAACCACCTTGGCAGTTGACATGGATATGTGCAACAAACTTAAGAGATTTCTTCCTTGTAAAAGGAAAACAGAATAGCAATATGACCTTTACACTGAAAAGGAAAAGCCCTGGTTGTGCAGATTTCGTGTCTCAGTATTTCTCATTTCCCTGCCAAGGGAAGAAGAGCACAGTCCAGCTTTGCTCTTGTCTGTCACTCTGAGCAGTTTGTCTGGGCTTCCACCACATTTGGCTTGTGGACAATTTCAACAGCTAGCTGACACCTCTGATCTTGTTTGTCTCCTTGTTGACTTCCCATGAACTTGGACCTGCCAGGAATTATTGTCCCTAGTGGCTTCATTCACAGCTTTCATATCAGAATTGTTGCCACTGTCACTGAAGCTGTTTTCACTAACTTTCACTGTCATTTTTCTTCCTGAAAGACTTGCAAATTGTTGCAAGTCTTATATTAAACTTTTTAAATTTAAAAACATATGTATTTTGTAAGAGAAACTCAATGTTAGAAGTAGAAGCCTCAATTAGCAACTACAGTTTAGCTGCCATAGATAAAGTAATGTAAGTCTTTGTTTGTTTAGTGTTTATTCCACTTTCCTGTTTTGCTTTGCAGCATTGCTAACTACCCCCTTGGCCTTGGATTGAACAAAGTCATCATCCTTGTAACAGATGATTCGCAGCCCAGCCCTCAGGTTGTGAGCAGCTACAAAATCACAATTTATCGAGAGGACCGCCCTAGTCTGCCTTTGTTTGATGACTACATGATGTGTGGGTTTGTGCAGGTATTGTCTATATATTCTTTTTCTATACAAATTAACAATGAATTTAACTGGTTTTTGTTCATCCAGTGGTGTAAATTCAGGTACATGGGCCAAAGCTGGTGTAGAGTCAGTTTTGGTGAGATTAGAATCTGAGTTCTAAATGCTATAATTGTATGAAATATGGCATCTACATGATGTTTCAGATATAAAAGTCCAGCATAAGTATTTGAGAGCTCCAGGTTAATTAATCTTTACTTTGGTCAGCTAAAATCTTACCCATCAGAGAGGTGCTGGCTTGTGAGAAAACAGTCCCTCTGTACCATGCAGTGGGTAGACTGAAGTATTTGTAACTGTCTATCAATAGCATTGGAGCTGTGGAAATCCTTTTACCAGGAAAGATATTTATCATTATGGTGTGTTTATGAGTGTTCAAGTGAAATACTGCTAGATAATTTATGAATCAAAATTGTTTATCCTAGAAGACCAACAAGCACCATCAAAAAAACACACTGATTATGAAGGAAGGGATGATTGTCGCTTACATCACATTTATCTGAATATAAGTTTTGGAATGCAAATAAATTACTTTTAACAAATAGAAGTCCTTAGAAAGCAGTGAGTCTAGTGAAAAAAAGTATGAGAGTCACAGAATCACAGAATATTAGGAGTTGAAAGGGACCTTGAAAGATCATCGAGTCCAACCCCCCTGTAGAGCAGGATCACCTAGACTAGGTTGCACAGGAACACGTCCAGGTTTTGAATGTCTCCAGAGAAGGAGACTCCGCAAACTCTCTGGGCAGCCTGGTCCAGTGCTCTGTCACCCTTACAGTAAAAAATTTTTTCCTCATGTTCAGATTGAACCTCCTATGCTCCAGCTTGCACCCATTGCCCCTTGTCCTGTCATTGACTGTCACTGAGAAGAGCCTAGCTCCTTCCTCTTGACACTCACACTTTACAAATTTATAAACATTAATGAGGTCTCCCCTCAGTCTCCTCTTCTCTAAGCTAAAGAGACCCAGCTCCCTCACACACTCCTCATAAGGGAGATGCTCCACTCCCTCCATCATCCTTGTGGCTCTGCACTGGACTCTTTCAAGCAATCCCCTGTAAGAGTTTGTCTGATAGGGCCAAAAATGGGCTGTGGAAGGGGAGCTTGGGCTGAATTAGGCATAAAATTGGAAGAAAGATAATGAAAGAAAGGAACAGTGGAGCTTTCAGTTAACAAAACTATGGTGATATATTCTTCATAAGGCAGAAAATCTGAGACACAGGCTGGAGCAGAGCTGTTTGCATTCCAAAGTTTGAAGACTGAATGTTGCTACTTGATATGGTGAGCAAAGATAAGCCAGTCAATTCAAAAAGAGAAGTGACATGGTAAATCATAGTCAAGGGCAGTGCTTTTGTCTGTGGGTTTTTGGACAGATTCAAAGGTTTGGTGGATTCATTATAAATATTAGAGCACCCAGGAGGAACATATTTTGTCACTGTTCATTCTGCAACCAGGAAGCAGAATTTACACATTATTGAAACTGACATCTGTGTTCATGTCAAATATCTAATCCCACCTTTATTTATCTACTTTATGAAGATCTTTATATCAGTATATCCTTTTTGTAAAACTTCACTTCTCTGGTTTCTTTCTATATATTGGAGAAGACATTGGGAGACTAGGGTGGGAGAAGGCAGAGCATTTTATGTGATGGGACAGATCAAGAGGAATTTTTTGTCTTGTAGAGAAGTAAGCAGTGGGGCTTAAAACAGGAGCCAAAGAGATTATAAATGTTGATAGCAAATTGTATGTTGACAATAATTATCTCAATCTGCAAATCAGAACTGTCAGAGAAAATGTATGTAGTAGTCATAGCCTAGCTGATATGAATACCAGATTATGGTGGTGTCTGACCCTCTACCTATTCCTTGTCTCTTCTCTTACACTTATCTTACAAGTTCAAAAGGTCAAGGACCATCTTCTTGCTCTTTGTACTGGCTCGGCACTAGATTCAGCAGTTGCTACAGTAAAACAAATAAGAATAAAAAGATAGAAAACCTAAGATTTTAGTTCAGGCATGCAGCAATTTGCCGGACACATTAGGTGTGAATTCATATGAAAAAGAGAGCAGCAGTAGGTTGAGCTTGAGTTATATTACCAGGAGAACACACTGCCTGGAAAGATGTAAAAAAGCTTCTCTTGTTGCCCAATCTGGGACATGTATCTGGGTGTAGGAACAGGAATTCAACCTCACACACATCCTCCCACACTAGAATTGACACTGCTGTTAGTGTTTTATGGTAGCATTTATGAGACTGAGTATGAATCTTTGAACACTGTGAAGGCAAGGAGATCTAGAATGATAAAAATGAAAAATGTTTTAGAAGTTTCTTTTTGATTGAGCTTGGTTTTCAGCTCATCTGTGAATACTTCAAATTAATATAATTGTTCAGAGCTAGGGAGGACTTCAAGAGTTTAGAGTAAAAATGAGATGAAAAGCATTCTTGTGGTATCTAATGAGTGCTGTGAAGATACAGTATGAGATTCTAAACCAACATTCTTTTCAGATATGTTAAAGGCAAACTTATCAGAGAATGTATTTAAAAAACAAACAGAGGTTGGAGCTGGAGATAGAAATGGCATTCTAAAACACTCAAAAGCCTGCATTTTTTTCCCTTTTCCCTATTTGCTAGAACAGAATTTTTTGTCTTCTGCTTAGAGTGATTTTATTTTTATTAATACTAAACTCGGATCTTAAGTATCATCATTACATTCTGCTTTTCATACCAGAGAATATTACGTGCTCTTGCAGGGTAGGTTAATACACCCTCATGAATGGCATGAATGCTTGTTCTCTTAGTAACATGACACCTGCTTTAGGAGCAAAAGGATAAATACAGTGTGAACTGATGGAGTCTCCTTTGGACACTTGACTAGGCACAACTGGGATCATGCATGGGGAGAGAAAGGTCACCGTCAGTGGTGTGGTCTTTCTCACAGAAAGCTTCAGTTAAAATTCTAATCCAGTGACTTTTTTTCCTGGCTTTCTTTTATGTTTAATCCCATTAGGATATTCAGGTTTCACTGCAAGATGATACTATAAGGAAGATTACAATAAAAAGACAGAGTGTGGGATGTCATTTCCAGTCTTCTAACAATTCTTGTACAGTTGAATAATCCCGAATTAATTTCATGGCTTTTGAATTAAGAAGTGTGTGGTTCCAAGCCTTGTGGCCCCTAAAAGGGGAAAAATATTGCCCTCTCTACTTTCTGATAGCAGCTATAATGTCCTCATTAAAACCAAATTAGTAGGGCTAAGCTGTGGCATCACCACAGCACCTTCAGTGGCTTTGGTTGCATTTCATTGTGTGTTCTGCATTCTGACAGTAGTGACTGCAAATGGAGAGGTTATTGGTTTGTGCTTTACCTAATTTTGTGCAGTTGTTGACAATATTCAAATTAAGTGTCCTTAAGAGGAGTAGTGCCATTTACTTATCATCTGAGGAGCTGTGATACCAAGATAGGCAGAATACAAAGCAAGCTGCAAGAAGCAGTGAGCTCTTCAGACGGGGCTATCAGCATTACCCTCAAGTGACAGATCCCAGACTACATAGACACTGTCATAAAGGACAACATATTTTATTCATTCTTGTACTGCCCATTATCTTTAAAAAGCAAATATTTGTCTATGCCCCACTTGAAATGTGTGGATGCTACCTCTTTGGTTGTTAATCTTTGCCTGGTTGCAATCATGGAGAGTAACTGGTGATGTGTGTGGGGAACCTTGTTTGACACTGTGAACTTTTGTACCCATAGAGTACTGCTGTCACATGTTTTGAGGGCTTTTGTTGTTTGTTTGTTTGTTGTTTCATTTTAGTAATACAGTTATTTATTTGGTTTTGCATTTACATTGTGAGTAATGGATAGCTAATATTATATTTTACAGTCACAGCATGTATCATTTTCTTTGTCTGTGTATTTGCACAAAGCATGAAAAAATACTTTCCAGAATCAGTACAGTGCAGTGGGCTCATGCTCTGGCTATCCTACAGCTTTCTCAGGTTTGAGAGAAAGGACTTAGAGGACAACAGCTTTAAAAACTTGCCTGATTTTTATGGAACACTTTATTCTTAAGTACTACTATCTCTTATATTTTTATAAACCCTTTTATCACATACATTTCCTAGAGACAGATAAGAATTTCATCAGAGCTGGTCATAAGATACTGGTATAGCATTTCTGACTATATAACACCAAATGGCTGCAATACAGCTGGCAACAAGATGCCATAATAAGATGTTGATTTCTCTTTCTGTCTACTGAACTTCCACTGATGAAGAAGCAGTTAGGACTAATAGAATAACTATATTTAAATTTATTATAGCCTTTGAGGGGTAGAGATGAGAAAACTCTTTAGAAAGGAGGAAGCCATAAAAAAAATCGAAGTAATTTCTTTTTTTTTAATGTAAGATATGAGAATATTTTTTTAGCTTCAATTATAATTTTCCCAAGGCAAATAAAATGTTTTTACTTCATTTTAAACTATGTGCTATTATAGTTACAATGCCTTTCACATCAGACAGTACAAGAAAAAACTGTCAATTGTAGACACACAAATTAACTCTGCCCAGTGCTTTCATGAAAAGATTTCAAAGAACCTTGTAAACATTAAATTATGTTGATAAAATAAAAAGATAAAAAAAGCTTAGGAGAGAAAAAAACAACTTTTCCTGTAGTAGGAAAAGCTTGAAGCACATGAGTCTCTAGGACATTGAGGATGCCATGTGCAGCAGCCAAGCTTCTTGGCAGTTCTGGGTTTGGGTGCCTTACTTGAAAACACAAAGAAAGTACATCTCTGGAACTGAATCTACAGCCCAATTATATCAGCAACTAGATTATATCTTATTTGCAAAGTTAGCTTACTTCTCTTTCAAAGAATAAAAGAAAACCAATTTTATGAGCAATCATGCATTGCATTCTTTAGTCTTTTCAGATCTAGAGCTGACGAGAATTTTTTTCAGTGGTTTTGAAT